ACGATTTCCTGTCCCACTCCCCCATAGATACTGACTGCAAACGAACATAGCATGACACTCGCGTACCTCTGTGCATTTAATGTACTCTCCATCCTCTGAAATATCACGTGACAATCCAAAATCTGCTACCTTGGCTACCAGTCCTTCTCCAATCAAAATGTTTCGGGCGGCCAGGTCTCTGTGAACACACTAACGTCATAGAAAAATGAGATATGCGAGAAGGCTGCTTGAAGGACTAGTATTTGCAAAAACTGTAACAGGAGAAGTGTAAATAGATTTAATGTGGCAGCATAATACTTTGTGCCACTCCTTAAAAATCTTATTCTAAAAGGACTTGACTTTTGTTAATCTACTATAAATGTCTCGTTATCTTTAAGACTGATTATCATCAAATTTTCTTACCGGAATTTATAGACGATGAACTGCGAAGCGGGAGTCCGATTTGTTCATTCACGCACATAACGATTACAGTGTCAAATTACAATGTCCAATTACAAGCATGGCACATACATAGGTTGGTGACAACCAACCAAGTTCGAGAATTATTTTAAGAAAAGTATAAAATGATTACGATTCATTTTCTGAATCCACTCCCATTATTCATAAAATACGAGAACACAAACTATATTCAGGGTAGAAAAGTCCAAAGAAACAAGCGCACATTTGTTACTAACCAGCTTGCTTTCAAGATGCTGCATTCCATTTGCGACATCATTGGCGATTCTTAACAAATTTCTCTCGGACAGTCTGGACCAAAGGTTTGCATAATTTGCATCCTCTGTGCGAGCGGGAATACGGCTCTCAAGCAACATCTGATCCAGACTTCCACCTGGTACGAACTCAATAATCACACATAAAGGTTCTGAAGACAAAAGAATGCGAGATGTAAATAATGATGCGAGAGCTTAAAATTTTTCTATTCCTAGAGTATTTGTTGATTATAGACCTCAAAATAGAATAATTATCGATTGGGTGGTGGTACGGGATGGCTTTTGTATTTTTTCTTTACGTCAGTATCAGATCGATCTAGAAAACTAAACCAATGAGTCCGTCAACCCAAACCCTGGTTTGGGGTTTACAGCAGTCATTTAAAAACTGCTGTGACTCCTGAAAGGGTTTATTTTAAGAGAGAAAAAAGTATGCGATATAAAGGAGGTTTCAGCGTTTGTTACATTTGTTTCATATAAAATTCAGTCTACGCGAACATGTTGGAAATTTCACCGCAAAATTACTAGGTTTTTCATTGGTAGTTATTTTCATATTTCTTGTTTCTTTAGTTTCTTGCTAAAATATTCATTTATTGCTGATAAATGACAAAAAGAAACTGATTCTTATGCTTTATCAAATTTTTCCTAAGACTGTAACAGGTCTTTTAGGTCACGTCATTTTCCCGCCAAACTAGACCCTTTGTTGACGCAGACATCTACGTCCTTGGGTAAAGAGAAAAAAAACGCTTATCACCTGATTACAAAGCTTTATCTATTTCAATGTACCTTCAAATGAGCATGCTCCAACCAAGCTCACAATATTTTTGTGGCGGCCAACTTTTCTAAGCATCTCTAACTCCTGGATTAGAACCATGCGCTGTTTTTGGTCTTTGTCACCTAGAAATAAGGGCAGAACCTATAAAACATGGGAAAATCCGATTTTCGAATTGAGTTGCGAAAAGGTAAGGGGCCGAAAAGCTCAGCAATTCAAAACAATTAAAAAGTACTCAGAAGACTGCACTGCTATTCTTTTTTCCTTGTCTTTTTCCCTGGAAAATGTTATGTGATTAAGAATGATTTGAAGGACAAAGTAGGAGAGATCTAGGTAATATCAGAGTCTAGGATGGCTAGGTGCTGCACTACACTTTTTCTTTTTTTAAACAATAAAACTCAACCTGCGATTCAGTTTACACCTCAGTTATTCATTTACACCACTATTTCCTTATTACAGCCACTTCTCATCAACGACCAACGAGTTATGGATCTCTCATCGGTCACCCTCGTAGGCGGACAGCTCTACTTATGGCCGCCATGACCAAATATCCATACTGTCCATTCATGAAAGCTACCCCTATCTAGCTATAATAGCAAACCTTGTCTACTTAGGGCAGCTTTAACCGTTTTAGATTACAATTAGGTTATTTCGAATTTTTTCAAAGGGCAGCGCAAACGTTTTTGTTGTCGAGGGGCCTTTTCTTAGATATTGAGCATCATTATCATCATCATCATTGGTATCAGCATTGCTGAGGGACTGTTATGTAAATGTGATCCAAGTTTTTTCTAATATTAAACGTCCCATCTACCAAGGTGCGTAATAATTATCATCACTGTCGTCATCGACATAATTATTCCAATATCATCATTATCGTCCTAATGTTGATCTTCGTCGTCAAATGTTTCCACAAAAGTAAGGTAATGTAACGCTATTTTTAATGGCTTCTATATCTCAAACCATGTGGGTCTAGCTGTTCAAAGGGTTGATACCGCTATCGAGTGGATAACGGTTATCAAAACTTACTGCGCTCCCCAAAGGATAAATAGTTTGCCACTGGATGGCGTAACACCCTTTGGACAACCAGATTTAAGTGAGTTCATAAATGGAAACAGCTTTTGGCTGTATCTGACCTTTTAACATTTTAACAGCAACGGGCAATTTATTCGCATCTCCTCTCAAATAGTTCCCCTTCTTTACGACTCCGAACTCTCCTCCACCAAGTTCTGTTTCTAAAATTTCCAGTCTTTCTCGAGGAATTTCCCAGTTTCTGTCAATTTCCATTTGATCCAGATATGTCTCATTATCAACTACTGCAACCTCGTCTGCCCATGAATTTGGTACCTCTACTTGCGTTTCTATAGGATTTCCTTCGCTATGATCTCTCAGCTGGTTCATAATTTCCGGTGTAATTTCGAGCATGAAAACATTATATGCGTCGTTTCTCTCCTATAAAAAAGAAGCAGTTTCAAGTACAAAGGCTGATTCTCACCTATTTTGAATGATAATGAACAAATCTGGTTTACCTGCCAATGACATTTTGTCCACATCTGACGTTTTCAATCAAGACAATCACATTATGATGGCCAAAAAATTGCTTTCGCAGACGTGTTTGATGTCTACAAGTTTATGCCGGTGAAACGATAAATATTTCCCGGAAACAACGAAAACAATCAAAGTATATCTCCTCCATATTCCGTCAACATGGAAATACAACACTCATAGAAGTTGTTGTACAGTTTCCCTCCCTTAACGCAAATTTATGGTTCTTTTTCATCCTACCGAGTTCCTAGAGGGAACAGGCTAAACACGCCCAAACATCATAATGCTAATTTTCACAATGCTAATTACCTAATTGTGCCGATTTTATCATACCTCAACCAAAGAGTCTTTCCTCTTTCTCCGGATTCGTTTCATAGCAATTTCGATTAACACAACGCAAACGAGTACTACAAAGGCACCAAAGGACGCCCAGGTGAATTGGAATAAAACTCCAGAGGTCCGTTCATCTTTTTCTTAAAAGGAGAAGAATATGAATATTTGACTGATGGAAAAGTGTGTCTTTAAAAAAATTAATCAAATAGGAATCTAAAGTTAGATAAAAATGCATTGAAACATACCCATACGAAAACGAATGTATCTATTCATCAACTCTAGTGTTTCTGTATCTTTGACTTTCAAACAAACCAAAACACTCACTATACTGGCTGGTAGTGACAAAAATTGGTTTGCTAGCTGGTCCGTCTCCGATTTGATTCGTTGAAAACACCGTAATGCTGTAGTTGGCGTGCTCTTTTAGACCTGTAAGCTCCTTCTTAAACTCAGTAGCTTTAACTATTACACTGGCATTGTGACTCTCTGTTGCTAAGCGATATGTAATCGTGTGAGTCAAAATGAAACCATTCCGATCAGCAGATGGAGCTTCATCCCACGTGATTAAGAGGCTGGTTGAGCTGATGCTAGTTCCTTTCACATTCTGAGGTGCAGCAGAGGGTTTTGTTAAATATTAAACATTATTAATAATAATGATAATCATTATCATTATCATCATCACCATGATAATCTTCATCATCATAAAAATAATAGTGATAGGAATGTAGCAGTGGACATACCACGAGGTGGCTCTGTTTTTCCACTGTTTTCAACTTCATTCCCCGTTACTGAGATGCTGCTTGAGCTGATGCTAGTTCCTTTCACATTCTGAGTTGTAGGAGATGGTTCTGTTAAAAGATTAGATATATTTAATGATAATTATAATCATCATCATTATCATTATCATCATAATAATCTTCATCATCATAATAATATTAGTGATGGGAATACAGTGGTGGACATTCCACGAAGTGGCTCTATTTTCCCGCTGTTTTCAAACCGGATTGAAAGAGCACTATTAGATGCGACTTAGCATCTTATGTATTTCACTTATTGTCCTCTTGTATTGGAACAAACTTGACTTCACTCGATGGTCCATCTCCGATTGCATTAAATGCTGACACTCGGACACTCTTTGCCCTTGTCACTATACTTAATTATCTTTTATGATTTACAATATCAAAATATTTGAATGGCCTACCTAGCTAGATTAGCTCGCCTAATTGAGATAAATTCAAAAGGAACAATGGGTAATGTGCGAAAAAAATAGTGATACAGAGTTGTTTGTTTTGTTGTCTGTTTCTTTTGAGAATAATTAACTGAACGTCCTGAGTTTCTCTTCTTTTTGTCCTCTCTTCCATTATTACTAAAGCCATACAGACTATCAAAGTACGTGTCACCACCAGCACAAACCACATGTTATTTTGAATAACCAAAGGGCACTTTCCTCTTCTGCGGTAAAACTTATTACGAGGCTGCTGCCAATTGCATTCTCAGCAAACACTCTGAAGTAAAATGATATACAAGGAGAAAGTTCTGTAAGAGAAGCATATTCAGTGGAAACCACACAGGCACGGCTAAAGAGTGTCTCTTGACAAACTGTAAAAAAATAAAAAGATAATTTTTTTTTTTGTTAAATTTTTGATTATCTTCATTTATCTCCTCCGTGTAGTTTTTAATGGCATCGCTTCCATCAAAATCCGCTGTCCAAGAGATTTGCAGCTTTCGTGAGCCCCTCGAATCATGCTTCAACGTCTTTTATGGGTTTGGTTGCACTGAAAAAAAGTTAATGTCCAGCTTGATGCTTCGCAGTTGTTATTTCATCATGACATCAGGTTTGCTACTAAGGTTTAGCCGTACACAGCTCTCATGGCTAATCGAAGCTAAGCGGCCAGTCAATTTTAATATATTTATGTGATCACAATTTTTTGCATTTTTGTTTTTGTTTCTGCTTTGTTTTGTTTTTATTAAAAAGTGAACTATTTTGATGCTAAAGAACATAATAGAGATCGAACATCAAAAGGTGACTGAGTAACTAGAGAAGATCGTTGTTTGATCTATAGTGGGAAGACATCCTTTTTGC